GGGGAGTGGCTGCAGATCTGTCACAATGGAATGGTGACAGGAAGCATGGGCACAATAAACGGGAGGCCCTGGAATCCTCCCCAAACCATCCCCCACAGGGCAACTGGTCCCTGGTGCCAGAAAGGTTGATTATTATATTATACAATGTATTTATGCTTAATAAGACCATACTGTACCCCACGAATATATATATCAAATATATGTGAACCAGAAATCATTAAAAAAAAAATCCCTTGGGCCAGCTGGTGGTGTGGTGGTTAAGGCAGCTGGATCCCACATGCCCATCGATGTGGTTCCAGTCCTGAACCCAGTGAAAACATGCTGGGGACGTGTAAGTGTGGGCCTCAAATTCTGAGAGGAGAATGAAGGAGAAAGTTCGGCGTGGTCATCCCGCCAGGTCTGCTTTCTCAGTCTCTCTCTTTCTCTCCAGTGGATGTGCTCATCCTATAGCAAATTAAAAAAAAAAAAATACACAAAAACATTCTGCAAAAACATCCTCAAAGAAAAATCCCCGAAGACTTTTAGGGTGCTTCCCAGCAACACTGTCTACAGTAACCAAGACGTGGAGACAGTCCAAGTAACTCGCAAAGACCAGCTGAAACCATCATGCTGTATCTCCTTTTCCTGCCTCATTTTTTAGCCCAGCATTCAAAGTTCTTAATATATTTTTCCTTCCTTGCAATCTGCCTACAGCCCTCAGTAGGACATAAACTCTATGAAGACAAGTGCTTTGTTTTGCTTGGGTGCTCTGTATATCCTGTAGCTAATATATAGTACATGCTTAAAAGAAATGTGGGGGTTGGCAGGTAGCATGGTGGTTAAGGGCACTGGACTCCCACACGGCCAACTGCAGTTTGAGTCCCAGACAGGGTAGCTTGCTTTCTCACTTTCTCTCTCTCTCTCTCGTTCTGTCATTCTCTGGTAAAAAAAAAAAAAAATTAAATTAAATAATTATTTTTAAAAAAGAAAATTGTGTAAAATAAAAACTGTGTAATGAATATGTATTTCCATGAGCAGTGCAAGGCCAACTGCATAGCCAAATGGAAAGTGTTTCCTGATCCCTACCTCACACCATGGATAAAGATGACTTCCAGACATACTACAGGTAAGATACAAAGCTTTTAGAAAGGAAAAGAGGAGGAGATTGTCACAATCTTGGTGAAAAAAGGATCTTGGAGATTGTCACAATCTTGGTGAGAAGTGCGTAAATAGGCCAAGGGGCCAGAAACAGAATAAGGTGACCCTGCCTCCCTACAGGGCGTGAATCACCTCAGCCCTCCAGGCCCTGAACCCAAGAGCAGGAACCCAGGAGGGTTTCAATGAGACACCAAAAAGCCCCCTTATTATAGACTTCCTTTTTTGTTAAAGCAAAAATTGGGTTTCTAGGGCCAGCTGGTCACACACTGCCAGATCCCACATGGCCAACTGTGCAGTTCCAGTCCCAGACCCTGTGGCTTGAAAGACACTCTGGGCATGTGTGCATGCATCTTCAGAATCCTGAGAGGAGAAGGGATTGTGGCATCCCCCTGGGGGTACATCCTCCCTTCCTCTCTCTCTTGCTCACTGTCTCTCTCCAGCAAGAACACACACTTATAGCAAAAACAATTTAATTGAGTTTCTATTTTTCACAAAAAGTATCAAAACTCATAGACCGCAAACTCCAGGGGGCAGCAGGTGGTGTGGCAATTAAAGGTGCTGGATTCTCACATGACTGACCACGGCTCAAGTCCTGGACCTGGTAGCTTGCTTTCTCTCTTTTCCTTTCTCCCTCTCTGTCTTTCTTGGGTCAAATTAAAAAATAATAACTGGGGTTGTAGGTGGCGTGGTGGTTAAGGGCGCTAGACTCCCACATGGCTGACCACAGTTCAAGTCTTGGCCCTGGCAGCTTGCTTTCTCACTTTTTCTCTCTCTCTCTGTCCCTCTCTGGTCAAATTAAAATAAAATAAATGAACAAATAAATAAAGTTAAATAAAAAATATTTTTAAAATAATAACAAATGGAATTAAAGAAATAAATAATTATTGGGGCCAGCAGTTGGCGTAATGGCTATGTCGCTGGACTCCCATGTAGTTGACCACGGTTTGTGTCCCAGACCCGGTGGCTTAAACTCACACCAGGCACGTGTGCGTACGTGCCCAAGATCCAGAGAGGAGAATGGAGAAGGGATTGCGGTGTGGCCATCCCCCCGGGGGGTGATTTCTCGCTTTCTATCTCTCTGTCTCTCTCTGTCTGGCGAGCGCACACGCCCTATAGCAAAAACCTCTAAAAAAAAAATAAAAAATAAATAAATAAATAAATAAATAAAACTCCAGGCCCCAGAAGGTGTTTCCATGGACTTAACCTGATCATTACGTCAGCGTAATGAGGAGATATAGAGGCCAACACCCTGAGGGACTAGGCCAGGCATGGGACAGGGGACTGACCAGACAGTCACAGCTGACAACAGCAGTGTAAGAGCAGGCAGAGCTCCATCGGCCCTGCCGACCTCCAGAACCAACCCAGCTAACCACTTCCAGTTTGTCGATTCATTTAGCAAACAAAGCTTTGCATGAGCACCAATCGCCTGCTCTCGCCACTCTAGATATGTGGGATACGGCAGTGACCAGTCACCCAAAGTCCCAATCACATGTTCCCCACTTAATGAGGAGGACAGGTCCTTAGAAAGTAGATGTCAGCCCAGCCTGGTGGCACAGGAGGTAGGGTACCTACCACACGGCCGACTGGGTTTGGATCCCTGGGTTGGCTTGAAAACATGCCAGGCTCATCCATGCATGCCCAAGATCGTGGGGAGCAGACGGGCTGGGGAAAAGGGATAGTAGTAGACACACATACCACACCTGAGGCCTGTCGAGGGTCTCTCTTTCTCTCTCTCTTTCGGGCACCACAGGTTCTCTCTCAGGAATTAAATTAACCGAACCCAGAAGGTGCCAGGGAGTAACACAGGCTGCAGGAAGGAGGCAGGGTGAGGGGTGGAGAGTGGGAAGTGCTGGAGGGCCTATGCACACACTGTGTTGTACGCTCAAGGGCTGGCCCTGCCCACTTTATTATTTTTTTCTGCGCTTGCCAGAAAGACAGAGACAGAGACAGAAAGTGAGAAATCACCCCCCAGAGGGGATGGCAACGCCACAATCCCTTCTCCTCCATTCTCCTCTTGGGATCTTGGGCGCACATGCGCCCGGCGTGACTTTAAGCCACTGGGTCCAGGACTTGAATCGCAGTCGACTACATGGGAGTCCAGCGACATAGCCATTATGCTAACTGCTGGTCCCACTCACTTTGTTTTTAAAAATCCTTTTCAGGAAGCACATGTTCCCTTCTAATCAGAAAAATATTAATAGCTGTTACACAAGGATTTTAGGTAGCAATGGCCAAACAGAGGATACAGAGCGGGGCTCCCTAGCAACAGCGAGTGCAAGCAGCAGCACTGGGAACACAGGGGCAGCTCAGCGCTTCTGTGCCGAGGCTCACTGGGCATGATTCACAACAGCCAAAGTTGGAACCGACCCAGCAGCTGGCGTGGCAGGGGGACTGGGGAACAGCCACAAGTGGACTGCCACCTGCCATTGAAAAGAATGAAGTTCTGACACATGCCACAACAGGGCAGACCTCAAAACCTGCCCGGGAAAGAAGCCAGATGCAAAAGGCTACGTGTTACACAATTCCATGTACATGAAACACCCAGAGAGGGCCAATCGTGGGGACAGAAAGCAGGTTGCCAGGGGGTAGGGAGAGGGCACAGGTAGCGGCTGCTAACCGGGTGGGGACTCCTCCTGGGGTGGTGAAAGTGTTTGGAAGATGCGGGTGACAGCTGCACAACATCGTGGATGTACAAAACGCACCTGAACGGTACACTGTAAAATGGATAAAAGGGTAAGTTGTAACTTACGTGTATCTTACCACAGCTTAAAAAATGTATAATTGGGGCTTATATTTTACATGCCTTTGTTTTCTTCCTTTTATCTTTCTAACCGGGAGGCCAAAAGTCCACAGAGGCAGTCCTGAGGCTGCCAATCACGAAGCCCCACCCACCACGCTGGTGATTGGTCCTCCGGGGAGTGGTTTGAACAGCTGGTACGGGGAGCCACCCCCACGCTCGCTCGGATTGGGTGACCAGCCAGCACTTACCGAGGCGGGGCATCGGACCAGCAGCTCAACTACCAGGCGGAAGGGCCAGCCTGGGGCTTTCAAGCGACCCCTTGGGAGCCAGGATTTGTCCTGTCAACAGAGCATGGCCCAGACACCCTTACTTGGCACTGCT